ATGAGACATGAGTTTATGTGAACATCTATCGGAAAAGACCGGAATTGTGGAAGAAGATCTAGAACCATGGTTGTGAAACTGAAGTTGCCGCTACGTGAATTCCGTTTTCAGTTCAAAAATACTCGAAAAATATATATTACTATGTACGCAACAAGATAAATATTGATGAACATTTGAATATTTTGCGAATTAATTACAATATCCGGGTCACTTTCTGTCACAATGCATATTAAAAATTGAAATTGAATGAAAATTTAAAATTTTTAATATTAGTCAATTTATTTTATGTGAATTTGTATAATTTATTAAAATGTCAATATTTATGTAAATATTAGATCTTTAGTTGAAAAATATAAATTAATAATATAAATTATTATTATTAATATTATCGATTCTTTACGAACCATAGAATATTCTAACATATAATTTACATTACAACGCACGRGTACGAGTACAGACAGCATCTGCTATCTACAATTACAACGCTACCGGTCGCTTTACCGGTCCATTACTTTCCTTACGTGATTATACATGCCCATCAAAGCACGATAATATAATGAATATTAGTTTGTTTTGATTTTATGCAAATTTTTGTTTGTCAGTTTAAATTCACATTTATTGATTTCAAAAACATATGCATGTACATGTGTTTGTTAAGCTACACGGGATTCCGGAGGCAGTCTAGCGAACTTGAATGAACCAGTTATTACGCATATTCGATTAAAGTCGCACGGGTTATCGGCTCGGTTGAAACCAAGCGGTTCAACATTTGTAATTATGAATAGATACTGGTTTCAAGTACAGTGACTGACACGTCTAACCAGATGACTGCATTGCCAATGATGACACCATACAATTATAAAATTAAAATCTTAAAAAACTGTCTCTTATACACATCTAGATGTGTATAAGAGACAGTGTATATACACATACATAAATACTTACATAGTCGTAAATTATTTTGTAAATAAACCAAAAGTCACATTTATTCATATTACAAAAAATTTAATTTGGCTTTACAAAAACGCACACCMACAGAAGTATCGGTAAAAATATTTCCAGATACAAAGTGTTTAA